TCCTGCTATAGCTATAAAAATTATTTTGCTGTGCTGTTCCTCAGAGCCAGTGTTACTGCCCAGCAGTGCTTGACTTCTGTTTGGTGAAGTGTTTCAGTTCCCCCCTGCCCTCCTCACTTGAAGTGTGGGGCAAGACCTGTGGGGCAGAGGTCTCAGTGCAGATCTGCCTGCGTTACATCTCTCGTCCGTGGGAGTTATGTACACAACAGCCTGTGAACGTTCAGACCTTTTTTATCCTTCCACAGCCCAAGGAAGAGTACCGGCATCGGAAATAGGTGTTGAGCTCTTCATTCTGCCCCCCGGGGTGGGAAGCGGCCGTCTCATCTCAGGCTCAGCTCACTGTGGAGCAGGAATCCCTGCCTGCCACCCTGAGCTTGTCACCTTTCTGCCAGCTGTGGGATTGTTCTCTTTGCGCTGGGCTCCCGGCCCATCTGACAATCCCTGCAGTGTCCCCAGGAATTCCAGTCCTTTGCCATCACTTAGGCTTAAGATCATTTGTTTGCTTTGCCCATATGGAGCTCCTCGTGTTTGGACTATGGTGCTGCTGAGTTGTGCCCCTCTGGCTCTGCACAACCTTTCAGATTCTCGTCAGATGAATGACATGATGCTACATGTCACCTAAATAAACCGTGACGTGCTGAAGGGAAGACCGTATTACTCCTAGATCCATCTGGAATTAACTTCTGTACAAAGCTCTTTGTAGTGGCCTTCAGTGTTAGGCCCCAGTCATGTACTCCTTTGGGACCTTTTGGGGTATTTCTGTCTCTCCATGGTTCAGGCAGAACAAAAGGAATCGATCCGAGGGGGGATGAGGCAAAGTGAGGGCTTGCTGCTGAAATTTGGCCTTTCCTCATTATGAGCTCTGATTCCTCATTGTTTAGAGGAGCAAACCTTCCATCGTGAGATCAGTCAAACTGCATGATGTACAGTTACTTAACACTTTCAGCGTAAGATTTGGCTTCCTTGCTCGAACCTTTTCAGAGCCATCAGCTTTCTCCCTTGGAAAACTCTTTTGTGCAAAGGAAACGTTAAAACACCTTGATTCTTGGTTTGGGGTTTTCTAGGGAGTTCCAAGAAATGAGGCATACAGGTTCCCTTGGGAACTTGGCAGCTAATTCCGTAAGGCATCTGAGAAAGCTATGAGCCTGTTTGCATTAGTGTCTTTACTGTGCTTTTAAATGGGACCGTTGTCTTTCTTCTAGCTCCTTCGAGAATTTATAGAACGTAAAACCACTTCATTTGACCCCAACGACCAGGTAGCAATGGGCAGGTAAGTAGGAAGTTGTCTGTAACAGTACTGGCTTCACCCCAGCTCTGCATTCCAGCCCAGAAGAAAAACTACTTGTGGGCCTCCAGTCCATTGCAGGGGCAAAATTCTGAATGACTCTGGAGAAAGCACCTGGGTGTAGGAAATTGCATAACAAATGATTAAACCAGTATAACATTAGTCAGGAGAGTCGTCCTGTGTAACACATTCCTTAGTTATGGATCACACTGTCTGACTTCGTGTTTGCCAGCCTTTGAGCCATGCCCTGGTTTGTCTGCGATCCCCTAAAAATACTTTCCAGGTGTAAAAGACTGGATAATATCCAGACTTTGGATATTTCTGCCTCTCCATGGTTCAGGCAGCACGAAAGGAATCAATCCATAGAGGGGTGTCTTAATTGGCCCTAGTGAGGGAAGACTGGACAAAGTGAGGGCTTGCTGCTGCAATTTGGCCTGTCCTCATTATGGGCTCTGATTCCTCATTGTTTTAGAGGAGCAAACCTTCTGTCGTGAGATCAGTCAAAGCAATTCCTGTGCCTGCTCTCTCCCTGCTGTAAGAAAACATACTATATAATTAAAACAATATTAGGAAAAGTTTCCTGCATGCAAAAGTAAAATATAATTCCATGCAGGGAAGCTCTTACTTCTGTTTAATTTTATTGTTAGAAAATAAAGAATCTTCCAAATACCGCTTTATGAACGGTGCACATGTAAATAGCCATGGGCTGTAATTTAGGAAAGTGTAAAAGCAGAGGAAGGCTGAAAATGCTGGAGTAGAGCTCTCCACTGAAAAAGTGCTGTGGGGCTATGTGTATAGGGAGAAAACGCATTAGGAAATTTTGTGATGGTGAAATAACTTTTATCCTTGTAAAATATTGCCCAAATTTTAGTGCAGTGTGTCAAATCTATTTTGTGTATGTCTGGAATATTATGGAAAGCTATTCACTATAATTTCACATGATATAGACAAAATTACGTTTAAGTGGTGATTACATTGTGCATTTATCTGACTTTACAATAAAATAGATTACAGTAATTAAGATTATATTAAGATTGCAGTAATTGGATTTTGCTAGATTTTTTCCCCTGATGTCGAGTTTTCATTGTATAAATCAGGTAAGATGACGCTCGTTTTCATAAAAAAAAAATATTTATAACTAGTAGCAGTTTTTCTCTGCTGAAAACTCCTTTGACTTGATGAAGTTCTCTTTGCGGAGTCGAGCTCTCCGTTCTAAATACAGTCGGGGATCAGACAGCACTTTCTGAAAGCGTTTGTTGCTTTCCTTTCTTTTGCAGTTTTGGGTGGTAACCGTTGGAGCATTATGTAGGGCTTCTTGCTAGATTTGCCAGGTTTAAAGGAGAGACAGCGGGGAGAAATAACTTGCTTCTAATTTTCAATATGCTTTGCAAAACTGAGGGAGGAAATAAATGCAGAGCATCTGCTGCATCATGGTAATTCTGTCCATGAAGTTGGTGTAACTTCACTGAAAGAATCAGTCCAGGATGTGGCAGATGATCTGTTCTGTTGTGGTCTTCCTACATGCAAAACAGAAGTTGTTCTAGTAATCAAGGCTGAAACAAAAATTCAGAAACTGTACAGGCATTTTCTACAGATAAAGCTTTTCTGTTTTGTAAAGATTTTATTTTTAATTCTAAAGATTGTTAAAAATATTCAGTAATCAAGAAAGAGAGGCAAATGGAGCCAGATTTGTGGCCTCCACAGGTTTTGCTGCAGGTAGAATATTCTCACCAAAGAGCGACTGTTGCATCGGGATCAGCAGGTCTGCCCTGCCTGTCCCCCTGTGGCTGGAGTCAGGAGAAACGCTTAGTGCTTAACTGCCCCGTCCCTGGCGTGAAGCCGTACCATGGGCACGAGGAGTTTCATACCTGTTCTCCTGAGGTTCTGATCTCCTTCACGTGGGTACATGCACTAGGTAGAAGGGCTGGGAAGGGCCTCAGACCCCAGGGTACCCAATGCTTATTTTCCTCTTGGCTCTGAAAGTTGTGTAACTGTTGTTTTGCATTCCTCAGGCAATGGCTGGCCATCCAGAAGTTACGAAGCAAAATAAAGAAGAAAGTGGACAGAAAAGCTAGTAAAGGAAGGAGAATCCGGTGGGTGACAGCTTCTGCAAGAAGTGCTGATCCTGCTAGATAAAGACCGAGTGCATGGGTTGGCTCTGGGGTGCGTCGGTGGGCTTAGTCATGCCTGGTAGGGCAAGATGTCTTGCTCTGGGGCATCCACTGGCGAGTCGGGCTTGGTTGGATGCAGCCTGTGAGCATTGTCCAGATCAGTCTTGGCAAGAGTGTTCATTGGTCTCAGAGAACATAGGGAAGGGGTGTTGAAATGTCCCTAAGTGATTTGGGGCTGTAATTTCCAGTGAAAGCCAATAAACACCTCTCGTGCTGACTGAAACCTGGTTAGCAGCTCCGCAGGAAGATGTGCAGAAATGCCTCAGTGAGGTAGATGTCTGTTTCCCCTTGACTGTCAACTGGAATTTGGTGTCTAATCTCTCTTTATTTTTGTAAGTCCAACTGCAGCTTGCATTACCTTCAAAGCATTTCACATCCTGACTTCTGGATCAATAATTTGGGTTGATCGCTCCCATTGTGTTTCCAGTGGAAGAGTCTTCCAGGGTGGAAGGGGAAGCAGCCTGGAGAGGATAGGGTTTTTTTTTCTCTGCAGAGCAGATCTATTAGTCTCCCTGAGTTTAGCATGACTGCATGATTTGTAGTGGAGGAGGTGTTTGTGGCAGGGAGGCATGCTGAAAAGCTGCACCGCTTCCTGAAAAATCCGCAACATTAACCATCCTTTTGTGAGTAAACTATAAATCCTGAGTTTAGATGGCATCTGATAGAAAGTCAGTGGAGTCAGTCTGGGTCAGGCCTGGCATAGCAATTTTTAAGATAGATGTCATAAGATAATTTATTAAAAGAGGGAAGAGCTACTTTGTTGGCCTGAAAAGCCTATAATTATTGACTATCAATATTCTTTTCTGTCAGCATCACACATAATTGGATATATTCATGATTCAGTCAAAACTACTGACAACATCACACAACTGAGTCAGACTCGTAAACCTCCAGGAATAATGGGGAAGTCTCTCGTTGTGTGGAATGTGTGCGCTTCAGCATTCCTGAGAGATCAGCTATCTTGCCAAGTCAATTGCCTCTTACTTCTTAGGTGCTTTTTTTTTTTTTTCTTCTTTAAATAAAAGTTGCACTGACCCTGCAGGGAAAATATCGATAAAACTAAAATGTGTCATTGTCTGTGGTTAGGATTAACATGCAGTTAAGCTCCAAGGTCTTTTCAGAATAGTCCAGTAGAACCCAAATGGGTGGTTTTAAATAGTCGGTTCTTCCACTGAAATACTCAGTGTCACCCCAAGCAGATCACTTATCCTCTGTTCTTCTTTTTCCTTCTCTAAAATTGGGGCAGCAGTGCTTAGATTTGTTTTCATGAAGAACTTTGAGATGCTGGAGAGCAAAGCGTTTAATACTGTTTCATCTGTCTCCGTAGTTCTTCCTTTTTAGCAAACCTTCTTTTCTTCCTTTAGCAAACCTTCAGTATTGTAGCATGTTGGGATGAAATGTGTTAGTTTACTGTAGGGTCTGAGGATCTTCAAGTGCTTTCAAAAGCAGTCCACCTTCCACTTGGCATCAGTACCTGTCCCCTTCTTAGACAGGGAATTGGACACTAAGAGGTGAAGTGAGCTCATCCAAAAAGTCCACTGTCGAGCTCAGGAAACCTGGTGCCTGGAACTCTGCTATCCCTGCTAGGATGTGCCTTTTCTTGAGGTAGATATGGGGGAGTGATGTGTGCACACTTATTCCATTGCACTGGTTGGTCTTGTGCTGCTACAACATGGGATGTCTTTCTGTGAATGTCGTGGTTTAGCCCTGTTGCTAAACCACTCCACACTCCCCCCTCCCAGTGAGGAAGGGTGGGAGGAAAACCAAGGGAGGCACGTAGAAGTTGTGATAAGAACTATTT